CCTTTTGACATAAGGCATTTGAAACTTTAAAGGTCTAGTTCTTCATCCTTGCTACTTCAGAGAGTATGTGGTCTCCTGCAGTTCAATATAGCCAGTGTCACTTTATGGTTCAAAAAATAAATTAAACGTTAAAACTTTAAACATATGCTAATGACTGACTGGAATTTTAATATTACTGTGGGTCGCGTCTCTTGAGTTTCATCAACTTTCATATAGTACTTGCAGGTTGTATAAAGGCTGGAATTGGCAGTGTAGGTTCATGGGTTTAAAAAGCTGCAAAAAAAATGGAAAGTACCACAACATTCAGAAAAAATGTTTAGGAGCTCTACAGCCCTTTCTTCAGAAATATATTCTGGGTTAAAGGGTTAAAATAACTTGTGATGCCACTGTTGGTTGCTTTCTAAATTCTGATCTTCTGCATCAAAAGAGATGTTTCCCTGTGTGGATGCAAAGCATCACTCACAGATTCAGAATAGAGGAGACATCATTTCTTTACCTCATTACTATGGTAACTGAAATGTGACCCAGTTTCATTGCCTCTAGTATGTGTTCAAAGCAAAGCCTCTGACATGGGTCCTCAGGCTTCCATTCCTCTCAGATATTTAACACACAAACCTGCATCTCTTATACTACTGCTTAAAGATTATGTATTCTATTCATGGTGTAAAGGTTACCTGGTGTGTACTTTGCAAATGTTTCTGCTGGTGGATAATGTTGCTAATCCACTGTCTATCATATCTGAGAAGTTGTGGCAGACTGGTGAAGTTTCCAGTGAGTAGAAAAGAGGAAACATAACCCCCATTTTTAAAAAGGGAAAAAAGGAAGACCCAAGGAACTATTGGCTATTCAGTCTCATGTCTGTGCCTGGAAAGATCATGGAGCAGATCCTCCTGGATACTATGGAGGTGACTGGTGACAGCCAACATGACTTCACCAAGGGCAAATAGTGCCTGACAAATCTGGTGGCCTTCTATGATGGGGTTACAGCATTGGTGGATAAGGGAATACAACTGATGTAATCTGCCTGGGCTTGTGCAAAGTATTTGGCACTGTCCTGCATGACATCCTTGTCTCTAAATTGGAGAGTCATGGAGTTGGCAGATGAACCACTCGCTGGATAAGGAATTGGCTGGGTCGTCACACTCAGAGTTGTGATCAACGGCTCAGTGTCCAAGTGGAGACCAGTGACCAGTGGTGTTTCTCAGGAGTTGGTATTGAGACCGGTACTGTTTAACATCTTTGTCAGTGACATGGACAGGGGGATGGAGGGTACCCTCAGCAAGTTTGCAGGTGACACCAAGCTGGGTGGCGCGGTCGACACCCTGGAAGGAAGGGATGCCAACCAGGGGGACCTGGACAGGCTGGAGTGGTGGGCCCATGCAAACCTCATGAAGATCAACAAGGCCAAATACAAGGTCCATCCACAAGAAACACAGATGCAGGACACAGGGTCTCATGAGAGTTAGACTGCCAGAGTTGGGACTTATATGCTTTCTGTCAGAAACATCTTTAAAATAAACCTTTAGATGATACAAATATTCAGGTGCATGTATGTTGAAGTCCTTTGCACTGGCATCATAAACATGCAGTTGTCTTATACATCACCTTCATAGACAGATCTCATTACTACAATGGTTAGTGGTGTGCATGTGTTCTAAGTCTAATTACTTATGGTATATTATCAAGCAGAGATTGGGGCATGGGTGAAGGCTAGTGGGAATTCATTTTTGCTGGGCTCTGTCAGCTCAGTCACATGAAAAAGGCTTGGAAAAGCACAAGTGATACATAGAGGGAAATTAACATAATTGTAGACTTCATTTCTTCTTAAGTAAGCAATGAATGTGCTGCTTCTCATCCTCTTTCAAATTAAATATACTAAATTTACTGAAGTTTCAATCTGTGTGTACCTGTTGTTTATAGAACAGTGGTATTGCATGTATTCTTACAGAGCCTCAGAAAATTCAATTTAACAACAAAATTCTGGCAAAGCTCATGTTTATGGTGTCCTGTTAAAGCTTTGTAACCTTCCAGGCATGCTCTCCTACTCCTGTCTCCTGTGTTACATTACTCAAAAAGAGGTGATTTTTTTACAGTGCTCCCCATGTCCCTTGTCACTTGGTCATTTTAGTCCTGGCTGGAGCTGTGTCTATGGAAACAGCACATTCCGGTGGGAGCAGCTATGCAGTAGAGCAGTTGGTGTTGGTGAACCATGATGTTCACCTAGTTGTCTGCCTCAATGTCCATTAGCAGTGGGAGTGTACTTGCTAGTCTTCTAGTTCAGCTTCATCCAAGTCTAATTTGTACACTGCAAGATTACTCTGAAGTTAAAATTGAAGCATGGTAAATGGGGACTGGCACAGTTGCTTCAAAAGCATGCTCATGATCCAGGCTAACACAGTAATGTAAATCTAAATTTGCTTCTGCAGCAAAAAACATGTTTGATGTGCTTTCAGAGTGAACTACGTTGTGGTCTTAATATAGCAGGGCATTTAAATACTGTTCCATTGCTTCAAGGAAATCACATCAGTGGGCACAAGACAGGGTGTAACTGGGTGATGGCCTCTGATAAGAAACAACATTTGATGGCAGTTCACTTTAACTAGTAGTTACGGGTTGACTAGCTGATGAGTGGTGGATAATCATTTACAGTTACATTACTGGCAAGCTTGTGATCTTAGCAAGAAGTAAAGGAGGAGAATGAGTTACCCAAAGAAAGAGTTTCGTTGTTAATAAACTAATAAACAAAATAGTCCAAAAGCTTTGAAACTGTCCACATTTTTCTCTGTATCAAACCCCTGTGTTTCAGAACTCTACTAAAACCGAGAAATCATGGATGTTTTCTGATGGTTGTCTGAGGTCAAATGATAGGACAAGGGGCAATGGGAGCAAGCTGGAGCATAGGAGGTTCCATGTGAACATGACGAAAAACTTTTTCACTGTGAGGGTTACAGAGCACTGGAACAGGCTGCCCAGAGAGGTTGTGGAGTCTCCTTCTCTGGAGACATTCAAAACCTGCCTGGACATGTTCCTGTGCAACCCAGTCTAGGTGATCCTGCTCTGGCAGGGGAGTTGGACTGGATGATCTTTTGAGCTCCCTTCCAACTCCTAATATTCTGTTTTATTTAGGCATATAAATGAATCTAACT